GTGAAGTCCCAGCTGACTGGAAGCTGGCAAATGTTGTTCTGATTTTCCAGAAGGGCAAGAAGTAGGACCCTGGAAACTACAGGCCTGTCAATCTCACTTCAGTACCTGGTAAAGTTATAGAGAAGATTATTCTGGGAAGTATTGAAAAACACCTGAAAGACACAGTCATTGGTCACAGCCAGCACAGCTTCATGAGAGGAACGTCCTGCTTATCCAACCTGATTTTCTCTTACAACAAGGTAACACACCTAGCTGATCAAGGGGATCCTTGTGGGTCCCTTTCAACTCAGCATACTCTGTAATTTAAAAGGCATATACATTTTCAGCTTCAAAGACTCAGAAGTAAGATTTACGTACAATTTGCTTTCTAGGCTCTCAAAGAAACACCTCCATTTCAGTTAGCCACAGATTTAGATGTAAAATATACTAACAGATATTAGCTGCAAGCTCTATTTTACACCTTCGTGCTGAATGTGGCCTCCAGAAATATCAAATTGTTATAAAATTTAACTTTTATTCTCTCTTTCTGTGCAAGTTCTTTATGTTATGATTATTAGCACAGCATATAAGCAACAAAGCAACTCAACAAGCCATAATTACATCAGGATTACAAAGAATACAAATTTTTAAGCACATTTTGCATGTCTGAAGTTAGTGTTGTGAGGTTCTTTTAAAGGTTGAAACAAGAAGCTTGCAAATGAAAAGCATTCAATCAGTTATGCAGAAGGATCAAACTTAACCCAATACATAAGGAATTACCAGCAGTGAGGCTGTTTTTATGACCAGCAATAGATCTCAATTACTGTCACTCTGGGAAAAGTGGGGGGAGGGTGGGAAAGAAGGGAGAAGTCCACATCAACTGGCAATTTCATACCAAAGGACAAACCAAGTATAAACTGGCATTATCCACTCAATCCTTGTATCAGATCCTCAATGATCAACCTTTAGGGCAGACACACATATCCATTTAAGCCTGTATTTGTCCAGTCACACAAATCATTCTTTAGGAAAATATTTCCCACAGCCCTTCCCATAACTTGATGTCCACAGAGAGGGTAAAAAAACCAGAAATACAGAACAACTGTGCCTACACCAGGCAAGGGAAAGCACTGATTTTACGACAGTGATTTTCTACCATTATTCACTTTGACATATAACAGGATAGGAGATTGTGCTGCTAAAGTAAATACAGCGGTTATATATGCCTCTTCTGCTTTGGTTTTCTGCTCCACTATAGTCAAAGAGCCCCCATCTGATGACCTTGGGGGCACAGCATAAATGTCAGCCCAGGGCAGGCAAAGTTCTAAATGAAAAGCTGACTGCACGGAAAAATAAGGAGCTATTTCAGGAAGGTGATTTTCTCAGTATCATAATTTTTGAATTGGCATCTTCATATTTTAACGTGGATGGCTTGCATTTGTCCTTTAAGGCCATTTTAGAATCTGAAAAGAAGAGAATACAACTGCCTGAACAAGAATGTCCATGCTTAACTAGTTCCAAGTGACCCCAAGCTTTCAAAATAAACTTGCAAAGCACAGAAAATAAAAAGGTTTTGGTTTTATGAGTCTTGAGGAAAGATGGCTGATGCAGGACCCAGTCCTATAATCTGATTTGTGCCAGAACTGTTCTTGAGTCTGTCTGCAGAGATTGTACTAACCTACGTGATACATACAACCTTTGTTTATTATTGTATTGGACAAAAGCTATCTTCCCACATTCACTAACTTAATTACACAGTCCTCAACATGCTATTGTACTGTGAGCCACAGAAGCTAGCACTTTACTAGGTAAGACTGATTTTTTAATAAAAACTGCTCTTTTTCAAAGCAGGGTTTTGGGTTTGGTTTTTGTTTTTTTTTCCTCTCTAATATGTGCTTTCAGGCTTTAAATTGCATACAACTATCATTGCACCATGTATCCACAAAATTAATTTTAAAAAATCACAACTGTGCATACTTCATATTACTTAGGAGCGTTAATTAATTAAACAAAAATAAAATAATCTATTGAATCTAGGCTTTCTAACTTGTCTTTGGAGATCAGTAAGGCACATTCAAATTTTCAAACGTCCTCTAGTCTTAAATTAACTTCAGCAAGCCATAGCAGTGGCTCCAGAAAATACACTGGAGTTCCTTTATAATTAATTACTTTTCTTTATAGTATTGTGCATTCAGCTTATATTTAATGTTGCTACAAATAAAATAGTATTTTCTGAACTTTTAATTCTGTATATGCAACTGGGTTTCTGCACTCATCTTGTTTCTCACTCGAAACTTTTCCACGGGCACAATTCTTTTGTTTTTCTTTGATTTTTTTGTTTTATTTACCCAGGACTTTCTGATGGCTGTGCCTTTGTTTGAAGCTGTAGGACTGACCAGGCTGGAAGGCGATGAGGGGACCCAACACGTTTGCAGAGGTCAGACTTTAGAATCATAGAATTAACTGGGTTGGAAGAGACCTCCGAGATCATCAAGTCCAACCCTTGATCCAGCCCCACTGTGATTACTACATCGTGGCCACATCCAGCCTTTACTACACTACAGTAAGGTGAGCTGAATAACTTTGCTGTTTCCTGTTCTGTATTTGTTACAATTTGTGAAGCTGAGGAATATAATATTAGTGCTTGGGTAATGTATGGATAAACATATTCTCTCAATTGAAGGCCCAGATTATACTTTGAGAACTGTGTGGATTCACCAAATTCTCAAATTTTCACATTCATCTTTCACACTAAGTTACCTTTGGGTTTTTCAATCAAATTTGAAGAATACAGCACCTCCAAACTCTTGCAGAGTTTAAGAAGCTGGTTACAGAAGGTTACCTTATTTCTTGGTAAGGGTATTGCTCAGCAGAGCAGAAAGAAATTATTCCAGCTGTAAAAATGAAATAAATAAAGCACAGGATGAGTACCAGAAAGTTAGTGCCATAGTGAGGTTGAAGCCACAAAAATTGAGAAATTGTCACATGACAGCATTTCACAACACATTCAACCCCTCAGGGGCAGGCTCACTAGTAATATTAAGATAATTAGGTGCAAATAACAGAAACGCACTAAAAGCCTTCCATTCCCATGATCATAACAGCAGCAGACACAAGACCGTAAGAAGATACTTACTAGTACACAGATTGTTTCCATTATATTTATGTCTTTTCAGAGCAAGGCTACTGCACCCTTAATTTCTTCTTGTACAATTCTAGCAGGACAGATTTCAAAGCTGGTTACTCTTTGTCTAGGTGGCTCTGTGCACAGAAGTCAAGGAAGCCTGAAAGTCTCCCTGTGCTCCTCCATCCTCATAGTCCTACTTTTGAGATCTATGCCATTATATAAGGAAAGAACATCAGGTTTCCTGCTGCACAGCCCAATCCCTTTGGAATATTCCTGATGCGCTCTACTTCCACTATCTATGAAAACACCAGGAAAAATTTGCCCCAAATTACTTTACGTTCACTTTAGTTTCAAAATTCATGTCAGCTTGAAATTTGACAAAACATTTAAAACATGTAAAAATTTAAGGTGATCTATCAGGGTGCATCAAGTTGGTTTTGGAGCAGAATGAAATTAATTTACCTTGGTCTCTGAAGCAGTTCAACACAGAGCTAGACAAACATCAATGCCAGCACAAGGGAAAACACGAATGTACACTAAGGGATGGATCACAAGAGAAAAGAATAACAGAACTGCCTCTTTTGACAGAGGACAGCTACTAGATCTCCTCATATATCATCAGATATTACACTTGAACTAAAACCCCACTGTAGTTTAAGACTGGATGAACCAGGGATCCAAGGCCCAGCCTTCCCTCTCCTCTAGATGGCACGGCCTTGCTTCCCCCTGACTCTCACAAAGGTGCACATGAAACCAAGATAGTGTTAGGATGCTGATTTCATTGAAACTTTATCACTTTTCTGATAAATTCCTTTGGAATGTTTAAAGTGATCTGAAACACCTCACTGAATGATACCAGCATAAAGGATAGGGGAAAAGGTGGGAATGTGCAAATCAGCAACCAGGGAGTACAAGGCCATCAAAAGCTGACTCAGAAGAGGTTAAGATGTTAAGAGTGAGCTTCTCTTTGGAGATATGCAAAGAAGCTCTTCTCTATGTGATCAGGAGGTTTTTGAAGAAAACTCTACCACAACTTTGGAAGATACTTAGATATTCGCAGCTCCAATTATCTGTGCTGGACATCATAGGCCACAAGCATCAGACCTTGTGAGACAAAAGGAATGGTTAGTAGCCAGATGAGAAGTCAACACAAATCCACTAATTATGTTTTAGCCTAAGTTCCACTGTTTTGTATTTCTCTTACAGTCCCCAGCAGAAAAAGAAAAGGAACAATAAATAACCTTGCCATGAACTCTGACCCTAAAATAAAGGGCATGTGACATCACAAGTAACACACAGCTACTTTCAGTATTATTTAAGCTGAAAAAAAAATAACATCATCTGATACAGATTATTATACTGCTGAAATCATAGTAAGAAAAGAAATCACAAGAAAACATAATTTTTATGTTGCTGCTGTTAAAGTGGGATTAGATAACTTTTTTTACAAGCCCTATGATTAATTTTATCTTCCTTGATCAGACATGATCTATGACTTTAAGTCAGGAAACAGCACTGGTATTACAGAAATTACTTCATGTGGAAATCACCCATGCAGTTGAGGGAAATCACATATTTCTTAAAAAAGGAGGGTGGACACAGGAGCACCTAGGTGATGCAGGATGTCACAAAGTCACTCTAGGGTCTGGCAAGAGCCCCATAAATCCTTGGAATAATGTTGCTAGGGATAGGGTCACTACAGTACCCTGAGAAAAGATCTCACATACATCAATCCTTTGAAGAGATCCCAGGATAGAGCTGGTGTCATCACACATGCTCAAGCCTCAAGATGCCCATAAAGCTTGATTAATTGCAAGAGTATCCAAAGCACAGCTGGTTGTTTGCATTATATGGGACAGTCTATTAATATTTACACAGCTAAACTTTGACCTACTTTATAAACCTGACTGTGTATGTGCACAAATATGTATTTGGTTTTTCATTTGTTCTGTTGGATTTTTTTTTCTTTCCATTTTTACATTAATTTCTTCAGTTAGCATTTGAGAGACAGGAGGTTCCTAAAACAAAAAGCAGTGTTAGCAGTTCACAATTACATAGATTCAATCAAAAAAACCAAAGGTGCACAAGAACAGGAGCCAGAAAACACCAAATTAAGCTCTCACTAGCACTGACATTAGCCCAATTACTTAATTTTGTTTCAATGTTTTATGCTTTTGCAAAAGAAGAACTATGTTTTAATCTCCCTAGACTCATCAAGTAGTAAAATACAGTAGAAAAAGGTCGCCTCTATATTTAAAATTATCTTCCCTGACTTCTTTTAAGAAAGGGAAACGGTGGTATTAAAAAGGAGATACTTAGTGAGGCCATATCTTAGAGTCTAAAGTAGAAACTAGTTGTGTAAGAATCGCCAGTCACGAAGCTAAGCCTCACAACAACTGCTTTGGAGTTCACTGGGCCTCTGCCATTCCTTTTATAGATAAATAATGTGAAGTTCACTCACAAGATCAGCTCTGTGCAGCCTCACAGAGAGCTAAGTGTTGATTATCTGAAACCAGCTTCTTCAGCACATAATCAGATCATAAACAACATGTAACAGAGTGCTGCATTCCAGGTAATACAGCATGATCTACTTAAGTGCATAAGCTATTTTAACTCATGAAAGTAGGTGAAGGTTGTTTAAAAGCATAGTAACTATTAAAGCAATTGGTGGGCAAGAAAACCCCAAAGACCTCTGTCAAAAAAACCATCGCTGTTGTAACCAAACAGCTCAACAACAGGGCAAGTGCTACATTTCAGAAAGTGCCCCAGTGTAAAGAGATTGGGCTTATCTGTGTCTGCTATGGGGCAAGATTTGGCACAAGCAAAGTCAGTCAGCAGGCTCAGGTCTCGAGCAGGTGTCCCAGTCTGCTGCAAACACAGGGCACTGCAGTTCTCATGCTCACATTCCTGCAGCTGCCTGGGCCAAACGCTGTCCCTGATTGATGACCACACAGAAAAGATTCAGAAGCACCACACAGACTTGTGCATGTCTTGTGCAGCTGTGATCCTTTTTTATGCCTTTTTTCTCTGAGCAGAAAACAACAGTTCTACCCAGTGTTTTGCCATTATAGCAATAACTGCTTTGGTAAACACTAGTATACATTACAGGCTGTTATGACAACTTGTGTCCAGTCTCTTGGGGGTAAAAAAAAATACAAAGCCCACACAAACAAAACCACCCCAATGAAATGTAACCCTTTAAAAATCTGAGCTGAACTTTTTACATTTCTTCATATTCTAGTTCTGCATTGATAATTGATAATGTCAAGGAAATATTTTTCCTTTACAAGACAGCAGCTCAAGTTTCTAGGCTTTCCCTCAAATCCCCTAAACCTCCAGTTCATATCACAGAATAAAAATGGAAAATTTCAAGCATTCTGATAAAAAAAAGTGACAGTGCTGTCTGCTGATTTCTGCTATGCATACAGGAGTTTATTTTACCCCGTGACCACAAAGAACAGGTGGATGAGGCACCCTACAGACAGCTCAAAGTAGCCTCCCATTAGCAGACCCTGATTCTGATGGGGGAATTCAACCACTGAAATATCTGCTGGAGGAAAAACACAGCAGGGCATAGTCAATCCAGCAAGTTCTCAGGGAGCCTCAGTAACAACTAGCCGACCCAAATTACAGAGGAGGTGATCAATGATGTGCTCTGCTGGGCCTCATACCCATCAACATGGAAGAGCTTGTCGGGGTCAAGCACAGCCTTGGCTGCAGTGACCATGAGATGGAAGAGTTCAGGATCCTGAGAAGCAGGGTAAAAAGCAAGATCGCAACCCTGGACTTGAGAAGATCATATTTTGGCCTCTTCAGGGATCAACTTGAAACAGCACCATCAAATAAGGCCCTGGAGACAAGAGGATCCAAGAAAATTGGTTGTTATTCAAAGATCACCTCATTCAAGCTCCATCCAAATGACCAAGAACAAAATGCCCACGTGGATGAACAAGCAGCTCTTAGCAAAACTCAAACACAAAAAGAGAGAATGCAGAAGGTGGAAGTAGAGACAGATCACCTGAGATGAAGACACTGTCTGAGCACACAAAGACAGGGTTAGGAAAGCCAAAGTCTACCTGGAATTGAATCTAGTAAGGAATGTCAAAGGCAACAAAAAAGGTTTTTATAGCTATGTAGGTGACAAAACTAGGGAAAATGTAGGCCTGTTGCTGAATGGAGCACAGGACATGGGAAAGGTTGAGGTACTGAATGTCCTCTTTGCCTCAGACTTATGTAAAACCATTAAATTTAGGCCTGTTATTCTTTATTTATAATAAATATGAAAGTATAATAAAGGACAGCACAACCTTAGCTTGCCTTAAATCTAAACTAGCTCAGAGCATTAATCAGATAAACTAGTGACCAGTGTTCTGTTTACCAGCCAAAACATACATCAAGTAAAATAAAACATACCTAAGTAAAACAAATCATTCCATACATCAAAGAAAGACTAACATAATGACGTCTGGAATTACTCTGCCAAACCGAAAATAAGAACAGAAATTACTCTTCCTCTGTAATGTCTTGGCTACTTTTCATCTGCTCGAGGGGGATACCATGTGACAGTATGCCATTTGCTTCTCATTATTTATCTCTTTCATTTCTTGGAGTGAACAATGTGCTAAAGCAAGGTACCCTACAGAAGGAAAGCAGTGCTGTGTCTGGGGAGAATGAGCTCAGGAATGAAATGGTACACCTCACCTACATATCCAGTTAAGAACTACCACTTCTCAAGTAAGACTAAAATGCCAGTAATTTCTGAAGTATATAGTTGCCAATAACAACTGTGATGTCAATAGCATCACAAATGTCAGACCAGAGGGCACTGGAGATATGGAGGCTGGTAGCATGTATGTTTTCATTTAAGCCATCACACTCCTGCAGTACGCAAGTACTCTTGCCAAGGTGTTCCACAAGGCTGCATTCCTATGGTGAAGGTTCTATCCTGTAAGCACATTCAGTGGAGAGTTAATTTTTCCTCAGCTTCCACCACCATTACTCATCATGGTATATATAAGCCCCATGACCTATGAGTAGCCTTCAGGAGTTCCCTCAGGCAGTATAATTGAATCCTGCTCCGTTCCTAAGCACCTACAAAGAATATGCATTAATGCTTCAGCCCCACCCTCAGGCAGAAATTACTCAATCATGAGGCCCCATCAGAACCTTCAAAGAATGAGGGAGAAGAGATAAGAAATACCACAATCTGTACCTAATAGAAACTTACTGAGGTTACACATGAAAAAGGAAGGGCTGGATCCAGAAGGAAGGGCTCCAGATCCCACGTCTGACAAATCTGCTTAGAAAGGAGATTCTAATCCATAGAAAAGCTCTCCCTAGGCAGTGTAAACTCACCCTTTTAGCACTGAGTTGAACGATCTCTATTTTCACATGCTTGTTTTCCAGTAATGTCATCTCATCCTTCCTTACTGCTGCACATCAAGGAAAGTGTGCCATACATTGCCATGACAATACAATGGAAATAATTACAGAAGATCCTAGAGTGAAGACCACAACAGAGCACTGCCTTTTCTTTCACTGCTAAAGAGGAGCAGAACAAAGAATTCCTTGCAAAGAATCCTGACATCACTTGTTATTAATTACTTATCTACTGATTTCTTCTCTAAACTGGATATGTTGTTAATGCAGCAACAATGAAACCAACAATTCAAGAAAAGAACTGCATGCATTCCCACATCTCCATCAACTCTAGAATTGAGCTAAGTATTACCCAGTAGAAAATCATCTCCCATGAAAAAAATTCTTAAACTGTAAAATAACCCCTCATGAACCAGATGCATGTTCTTGCTCAATTTGTACCTATAAAGAAGTCCAACTACCATTAATGGACTGCAGTCCACCTGCAACGCTGATGCTAAAAGCCCAACCATTCCTGGCTTTCTGTACTTTCTACCACCTTCAGTGCTATTCCTGTCTGCATGACAATCAAGCTGCTTGTCCTCCTTTTCAAAGGCCTTCACTATTTAGTCTTCTACTCACCTACTTTTGACTTAACATACTAACCTTCCTGCTCTATTTCTCCCGCAGACATACTTCTGCCCTCTTTTATTCTACTTATCCTAAGATGAGGATATACTCAGGACTTATTTGCAAAGTCACAAAGTACCTTCTACTTCAAATACTCAGTCAGACCTTCCTTACTCTGAGATCTCTTTGTCAAATATAGCCCTACTACAGATTTATACATGCAGATACAAAGAATTGTGGCTCTTGCAGTTTACAATGTTATTGTAATTGATAGTCAGATGTTTGTTGGGTTTTCTTCAAATAAAAATAGATGAAGTGCAATTATCAGGAAAATCTGGATGTCCAACATTGCTGGGTAAAGAGTTGTCATTAACATGCAAATTCTGAGACTAAACCTATCTGTACTGCTGTATCTCTTTTACAGAGCTGAAGCAAATAGTAAAAAAAGAGTCCTCAGAAACAAGAGCATCAGCACAGGAGTCACACAGGCTGCAAAAGCCCAATTCTGAAAATTTGTTTCTTCTGAAGTTGAACATAAGCTGCAGCAACATAATGTTAAATTCTTCATGCCAACTCACTGGCTTTTAACAAACAGCTCCTTCAATTTGTAATAAAGTATACAGTACACTCCTATGCTTTCAAGTTGGGTTCCTGTAAAACAGGCAACATTTCACTCCTCCTGATAAATACACAAACATCAATTAGTTAAAAGACATTATATGACAGTATTCAGGGCAGAGTAACAGCATCCTATAAAGCATAAGGGACTTACTTAAAACATGGAAATGACATTGAATTTAAGCAAAAGAAGTAGGACTTCACTTTAGAAGGTAAGAACACTTGGCATTTCCATTATCCTTTTGTAAAAACATAGGTCCAGAAAGGCTGATTAGATGTCTACCTAGCCTGTAAAAAAGTCAACACAACAACCCTTGTAATCAAGGCAAGTTAAGAGACCAGGTGGAGGGTAGTTTTTGAAAGGACAGATAGCTGTGTGAAGCTAAAACAGGCATCCAAAAATTCT